AGGGGGAGGGGGAGGGGGAGGGGGAGAGGGAGAGGGAAAGGGAAAATAGGGAGAGGTTGTGTTCTTTTCCTCTCTGCAAGCATATGCTATGAATTACTGGTGAAGTCTGGGAGCACCCTCAGAGAAGCTCATCATGGGGCTCCCCACTTATGGACGTACTTTTCACCTTTTCAGAGCCTCTAAGAATGGGCTGCAGGCTGCAGCTATTGGACCAGCATCTCCAGGGAAGTACAGCAAACAAGCTGGCTTCTTGGCTTCTTACGAGGTGATGGGATTAGGGACCTGTGTCTAGCAGCTAGGGCTCCCCTACCCCAGCTCAGGAAAGGATCAAGGAAAGGGGCATTGGCAGAGTGAAAGCTAGGGACAGGGGAAAGAGGTCATTTACTGGGACAAAGGAATTTCACTATTGGGGAGATTTTCTTTTTCTTTGGAGGAAGTCGAGTCCTTTGTGAGGGGTGAGAGACTCAGGGGAATGGAAGGAGACAGAGGTTTCACTCCTTAAAAAGGCTTTACATGTTATATGGGCAAGTCCTGACTTACTATTTAGCCTAAATAAAAATCAAGTTTGCTGTTTTGTAATTTTGAAAATTGAATCATCAATCCATGTCTTATTGCAGTCCTGCTCTGTTGCTTTCTGTATCCCCAGTACTGGGTTATTTTGGAGAAATTCTAAGACACTCTCTGTTGTAGGTTCTTTCATCTCTCCTCCGCCTCCACCCCTTAATCTCCATCTTAACGAAGCTTACTAGGGGATGGTGTAGAGGAAATAGATGTGGCCCCAAGGGATTATATGACATAAGAGGAGACAGTGAGAGGCACATGAAGTCTTATGGAGCAGGTGGACTCTGAGTAGACTCTGAAGCACAGGAGAATCCCGATGGGCAGGTCAAGCACAGCAAGTAAAAAAGCACAGATGTGTAGGGGGCACCAGAGGTATAACCTTACCTTAGGCAGTAGTGGAGGTGCTGAGTGTCTCATAGGCTCTGCTCTATGCTGGATTGAGGTGGACATTTTCCTGCTAATCCAATGAAGCCTGGTTGTGAGTGATGGCATAGTTGGAATAACGTTTTTGAAGGATACTATGGGTCAAAAAGAGTTTAATAGAAACTGTAAAGCTCTCAAAGAAAATAGAAATGATGTAGATTAATTTCTACAGCATAACTTGGGTACGTCTATTTCTTTGCAGCATATAGTTTCTAACACAATTCTAGGCACCCAATGGACATTTGGATGCTTGATAGATTGTAACAGCCTGCCTTCAAAACCTTTAAATCTAGTAGAAGTTCTAGCACTAGTTCAGTAACGACCCATATATGGGGCAGTTTGTTTTGAGATTTGATGAACAGAGGAGAGATTTGTTCATGAAAACACTTAAAAAATGTAGGTCCAGTTTTGGGTCAGGTTTTTTCCTCCTAGTACATGGTGCTGGCATTTTTGCCAAACCTTGGCTTGGCTTTTTGAGTATATCATGTACCCTCCAGTTCATTTTTCTCACCGTGGATGCTGTAGAAAGGAAAATGAAGCACAGAAATTTATTCAGGATAGAGGGAAGGTCTTTTTTGAGTGATTTCCTGCTCCCTCTTTGGTCTACCTCTTTTTCATTCTTGGTGAGGGCTTTTAGGATTTTTTATCAGGGGGCAAGGAGCAACTATGCCTCCCGGTGTTTCTCTCTATAGCACTATATAGAACTCACCTATGGTTCTCCTGACAGGTTTGCTCCTTTGTCCAGAGAGCAAGAAATCATTGGATTGATTATCAGTATGTCCCATATGCCTACAAGGGGCAGGAGTGGGTTGGCTATGATGATGCCATCAGCTTCAGTTACAAGGTGAAACCCTGTTTGCTCCTCTTTCTCTTTCTCCCTCCATCCCTCTTCCCCTCTTTCCTTCTTTTTTGGACCAGATATTTTTTCTTTTCTATTTAGAACAGACATTTTTATAACAGACAAATACCAATACAAGATTATCCTAAATTCTCCAAGAAGATTACTGATATGTGGCAGGGGTGGGAAAATTAGGGAGACCTTCCTGAGGGAGCTGAGTAGGAATAGAAGATAATGGCATGGAGGAAGGCTCAGTGGGGTAGAAAGTTTCTCACAATCTCAAAGAAGAATTTGGGTGGATCAGAGCCTTTTTATGGAGAGGAATAAATGCTGGTAAAGAACTTTAGCTTTCACTCTGCAGGGATTTTAAAAGAGGGTTTCTGAGCAGGTCTATGGTTGGCAAGTTTGAAGCCTTTAGAACACACGTGTCCCAATCCCCATATAAGTGGTGTTTTCCAAAGCTGAATCTGGTAGGTTTTTATAGTGAATTAAAACAGAAGCTTCACATCCCAGTGGATCCTGAGCCCGTCTCTGTTTTGAAATCATCTGAGAGATTTGATAAATGTAGAAATTCTTGGTTCCACCCATGGACACTCAATAGACCTTAAGAAAAAGTTTGGAAACTCTTTTTAGTATGTCTTCACATGTGATCTTGCTATGACTAGTTTGTCATTTTGGAAGCTGTACTGGACTTAGAGGTCTAAGTATGAGATAGTGAAGGTCTGGACCAGGGTAGTAGGAAGGAGAGGCAGTTTGTGGGTGAGAAGTTCTCAATATTTGGCAACTGCCTGAATATCAGGGGTTTTAAGTGGAGAGAATTCATAGTTCTCCTACTGTAGGTGACATAGAAGTGACAAGTGTTGGGTGTTCTTGGGAAGGGAGAGATTTGAGGTGGAAAACACAAGAGATAAGGAGGCACTCATGAAGTTTGCCTCGCAGTTATACATGTAGCTCCTCTATGTATAACTCTAATGCAGCCTGCTGGGGAGAAACGAAGTGGAAAGCATGGCTTCCAGCCCCTAGGACCTTGCCCTGTGGTTTGGGAATGAAAGTCACAGACAGAAAAGATCGATGATCCCATGGAAATAGCAAATTGGATGGACTTAAAAATATAACCTGTAAGACATCAGAGAAGATCTTGGGACCAGCAGTAGAGCATAGACTTGCTTGAGGATCATTATTGTGTCTTGCAGAGCTAGATGGGGACACGGGCCCAGTGTGGGGATGATTAAGGGACTTCATCACAAAATGTTAGAGCTAAAAAACCCTTGGAGATTATGGCTAGTAGATAATTACCCCTGAATGCCTCCAGGATCCTGGTTTGTGTCGGCTCTCTGAACAAAGGAAGCAGATAAACTATACCAAAGATGGGCAGCTGCCTTTTCCCCTTCTGTCAGGACCATTTGCTCACATTCGAGAATTGTAAAAGTCCCCTCCAAAAAGTGTTCACATATAAACAGAGCAGAAGGGACATTCTAGTGAAACTCCCTCCCCCTGCTGCCAGATATTCTGCCACACCACAGGAGCCCTAAGTCTTATGATTTTGAGGTTCACTATGCAAACCCTGCTGCACATGCAGGTTAGCCCCTCATCACATTGCCCATGGGAAGCTGGGGTGTGGGAACCAACTCGAGGTGCTGTTCCTCCTGCTCTTTTTCTATGAATAATTAACATCTGTTCTCTGATCTGGGTCCGGTGTGTGTGTGTGTGTGTGTGTGTGTGTGTGTGTGTGTGTTGGCAGGCCAATGTGTTAGCTTGTAAGAAGCATAAGCTCTCAAAACTTCCATAATTTCAGACTTAATAACTGGATTCTATTTCCTCTTCTTCTACATTTGGGTAAAGCAAACCCCAGAAAGGAGCAAAATGACTTGGCTAAGTCACACATCTATTTGAATATGATTGAGTCCGTTTTTTCTATCAACATTTATAGAGCACTGGCAAAAACAATAGGACCTGGATTTGAGTGTAAACTCTGCCTTTTTGTTGTAGCTGAGGTTTAAAAATTATGAATGAAAGCCTTTATCTTCTTCCCTGTATTATCTGCTTTACCTGTACTTTTTAGCACCACTATGACATAACCATGTTGGAGTGATTTTTTTCAATAATAATAAAGCATTATCTATAGTTCAGTGAATAATTATGGCAATTATGAGGCTGGGAAACACAGAGGGATGGTAGCCAACATTTACTGAACTTTTAACTCTGTGCCAGATATTGATCTAAATATTTTTTATGTAGAAACTTTTTAAGTTAGTTATGCTCCTGCATAAGATGCATTTTAACCTTTTTGATTCTATCATTCAGTGGCATTAAATACATTCACATTTTTTGTAACTATCACCACCATCCATCTTCAGAATTTTTCATCCTCCAAAATGAAACTCTGTACTCATTAAATGCTAACTCCCCATTTCTCTTAGCAGTCACATTTCTCCTGGGAGTCACTATTCCATTTTCTGTCTCTATTAATTGGACTCCTCTGAGTACTTCATATAAAGGGAATCTTACGTATTTGTAATTTTTTGGTTTGGCTTATTTCACTTAGCATAATGTCTTCCAAATTTCATCCATGTTGTAGTATATAGGAATGCTTTTGATCCTAAAAATGTTGAAAATGTTATTCTTTTTTTCATAAATGAGTCAACCAAAGCACATAATATTTATATAAAAATTTCAAGACCCAATAACTATAAGTAGCAGAGGCTAGATTCAAATACAGGCTATCCATAGTACTGCTACATTGCTTCTTGAGTGGTCATCTTCTGGTATTTGATATTGTAATAGTCTGGAGGGTAGCTAGTATAGCATGTTAACTGATTGTTACTGTTACAGGCAACATTTGTAAAGAGAGAACATTTTGGAGGGGCTGTGGTGTGGACACTGGACATGGATGATGTCAGGGGCACTTTCTGTGGCACTGGCCCTTTTCCCCTTGTAAATGTACTGAGTGAGCTCTTGGTGCAGGCTGGTAAGTAGCTGTGACTTGGGAGCTAGGGTCTTCATTTGTAGAACAAGGCAATGGGTAGGTCTGTTCTGCTAAGTCTAAATGCTTTGATGAGGCAACATGATATTGAGGGAAGAGAATAAACTTTGATGTTAGCCAATGTTTTCTAATCTTGGTTGGGATATTTGGACCTCACTTGATCTCTTTGAGCTTCCTTTTCCCTATCTATAAAATGAGAATAATCCTTATGCTCAGGATATTAGCATTGTAAGAACTAAGTGAGATATGGAATGAGCTGGCTTAAAGTTAATACTCTATATATGTTAGTTAATATTTCTGTTTCTTTTGCTTTTATGGACAAGGGTTAGGAAAGGAAATTTAATTTCTTTCAAGATCTCAATGATAGTGAATGTTGCCCAGGCAGTTAGGAGGTAGAAGCTGGAATGAAAGAGCAGAAACATCCTTAGAGATTTTTCATAATTCTCACTTTAGAGATAGCGAGACCAGTGCTCACCTTTGTCAAGTGTCTGGGTGGGCTCCAGCCCAATCATTTACATCATACTGTCTATAGCCTCTTTGCCTGCATCTTTGTTCCTGGTGCCTCCTGCAATGTGGAGACATGAGAGGTTTCTCTCTGAAGATTCAACAGCTGAGGAATTAGGGCTGGGGGAAAATTTTGCTGTTAGTGCAGAGGGGTCAAAGAGAGGGCCTACATACAAGGACCTCATAGGTTATGCCCTGGAGTCATTCACCAGAAATGTAGCAAATCCACAAAGTGCCCCTGCATGGGAACATGTCACATAATGGCATCAGGGAGAAGGGCGTGATGAAATTTTATCTGTGCTTTCAAGTGGTAAATTATTCAATCCTCCACTTCTGCATTTTTGGAGAAGTTACTTCAACTCTGGAGTGGTCCTAGTCCTGCCAGTAATTAATAAGACAGGAAGAACGAGGTAGGATTCTCATTCTTTTCTAATGATTTTTCTCTAGAGGTCAGCTCAACTCCTTTACCACAATTTTGGCCTTCATCTGCTATGAATTCTTCAAGATCTGACTCTGAAAGACTGGCTGTGACAGAGGCAGTGACCACGGATACTATTAAGATTTTGCCCCCAGGAGGAGAAACTCTGGCCATGGAGACCCATGAAAAGTGTGAAAACATAACTACAATTTCTGCAAGTGGAATTGTGACCCCTGAAGGGGAAACAGTATCCCCTAGAAAGCTCAGTAGTGTAGCTCTAGGTGTAAAGACTGAGGTCCTTGGGACAAAGACTATGACCTCAGTGGACAGTTGGTCTGTGACCACTGCAGAGACAACTGTAGCTTTTGTGCATCTTCAGACAGAGACCCTTGGAGAAAAGACCGTGACCACTGTGGGTCATCAATCTGTGACCCATGGAGGGATGACTATGACCCTTGTGCATCTTCAGACTAGGACCTTTAGCCAGAAAACAATGGCCCCTAGAAGGAATGCTATATCCCCTGAAAATGGCACTGTCCCCTACAGAAAGTTGTCAGTCAACCCTGCTGGGAAAGCTATGACTCTATGAGGGGAGAATTTTACCCAGGATGGGTGAAAGTGATCTTTAGGTGAGAGGTGAAAACAGGATGTGTCCTCCAGCTCTGTTATCTGTCTCCTAAGTAGCATTCTCCTTGCTTTTGACAACCCCTTAATCCTCACTGATGGAAATCATTTATCTATTGATTCAATGACCCTTGCAACAAGTCTTCTCTTTAAAAAAAAGACAACCCAGAAAATTCTGCTGTGGATAAAGAATCCTAAGCTCTGTTGGTAGCAGAAACTGGGAAAGCTCTTGTCTTTTCTTTTATATGATATGACAGAAGCCACGTGATCCCACCCATTGATAAACCATTCAGTGGGGTAAAGTAGGTACCAAAGCCTTCAAGGAGTCAATCTCTTTTCTGTTGAATACATTAAAAACGTAAGGATCTACCTGCAGTCTCTGAGATTCTTTTCTTAAAATGAGTTGGGCAACTGAATTGTCCACTTCTTCCTCTCAGGGTCATTTTCTCTACTACTATGTTTGGTAAGGAGTTGTGTCAAGTCTACAATAATGTTTTTCACCGTGGACGATGGGCTTCCTTTTCTGCCATTAGAAACATCTCGCTTCATTGTTGGTTGGAGCCAGCGTCTCCTCTAGAGCAGGTTTCCATGATCCTCAAGAAAAGCTGGAAGGATGAGGAAGTTGAGTCTTCCAATTATATTCTCTGCTTGGTGAAATCTTAGTTGTACCTGAAGAAGCATAACATGCCTATCTTCTCCTCTAAAAGTGGTTGAGAAGGCAAAACAGTATTTTAAAACCTCTGTTTGGATTATTACTGGGACACTTCTAGGTCTTCTCCAGAAACACCAATTCTTTTTTTTTTTAAATTAATTTTACTGGGGCTGGGGCTCTAGCTTAAGGGTTCCACTACCTGGCTTGCAAGCAGAAGGACCCAAGTTTGATCCCTGGTACCAAAAAAAACACCAAAAACAAAAATTAATTTTATTGGTACATTTTAGGTATACAATATAATGACATTCATCATTGGAAATTTGCACCTTTACA